AAGGGATTAAATATGGAGAAAAAAGGAAAAAAGGTAAGAATCTTGTGAGGAACCCATCATTACTGAATAGGAGTAGAACACAAGAAGATTAACAACAAAACAAAGTAAGGATAATCTTGATGGAAGGAAAACAGCGGCAGCAAAAAACCAACCGGAACTACCAAGAGGTATACTGTGATCTTCTGGTTTAAAACTATCCAAGAAGCAATATAAAGTTCCCAGAAACAGAGCACTATGGGAATTTATAATGTGATCTATGGTCTCAGGTATCTCAACAGTGGAACTAGTCAGTTGCCCTCCCCATCCCCCTTCCTTTGGCAGGATCCACTTTATTCTGTCCTGGCTGAGAGCAGTAGGGGCTGCCTTATAATGGGTTAGAGAAGAGACTGAGGGGGAAAGGTGGAAAAAGTTGAAAGTGGATAGTAGCATAGACTGGAAGGACACCCTTGCCCTGGATACAATGTTACTGTCACATACAGACCAGTGCCTCTTCTCTTTCTCCCTCTCTCTCACTATATATATATATATATATCTCAAATCCCAAAACTTTAATGTTACTTATGTGTCTAAAACCTCTGCCAATCATTAATCATGTATCTTCCATTTTTGACTCAGAAAAAAGAGTTAAGCAAATTTCAAAAAAAAAAATCTCCTCCAAAGAATAAACAGATTCAATTTAAGCAACTGAGGTGGTGTATAACAGCAATGTTTAAATAATGTTAAAACAAAACTATGTTATCACTTTAGATTGAAAGACAGATTAACAATCATCAAAACACCTAGCTTTAGAGTAGTTAAATTTATTTCTTTATTATCTCCTTCCTTCCTTCAAATTTTGAGATGGGTTAGCACTCTGTATGTTCAGGCTGGCCTAGAATTTGCTAGGTAGTCCAAGCTGACCTGGAATTTTCAATCTTCCAGTCTCAGCCTCCTGAGTGTTAATATTATAGGCATCTGTCATCATGTTTGGCTATAGTAGCCAATTTTTTTATAGTTAAACTGGATGATACTTTTTTATATTTGGCAATCTACAATCAGCTCTTATGGAATTCCACTTGAAAGAGAAATAAAAGTTTAGTTGGGTCCATTTTTACTTCATTGGCTCAGAGTGTTTCATTCTCATTTGTCATTTGTTTATTGTCTTTTAAAGGCAGTACACAGAGGCTACTAGACTATTTTAGCACTGAATAGCTAGCTACAAGCAACTGATCCTAATGGTTTTAAATTTAAGCATTTGGCAGGACTAGCTGACAAACTGATAGGACTAGCAGACAAACTGATACTTTTCTTCTGAATTTTCCCCTCATGACCTAATTTCTTTTAACCTTTTATTGTTGATTTAAAAAAATACATTTTTGACAAATTGTTTCTAATTTAGCCATTATGTAAGCCATACATTTGAAAAAGACAATGAGGTTTTGAACATTTCAATTTGGCAACATTGTCTCTGTAAAGTTACTAGTAACAGCACTCTAAACGTGAATTCAGGCACAAGCAGCCCCTGGGATACAGATGGCTACTTTACTTTCAACTCATGCCAACAGCCAGAGAGGTTGCTGACACTGCTCCAGGTCACCTCCACCTTTCCTTCCGCAATCCCAAGGGCTATTACCAATTGGAAAATAACAAAGCATGAGTTTCTCAATTAAAAGCTAACGCAGGCCAAAGGATCGGATAGCAGCAAAAGTAAGTTTAGGAGAGGAAGATCAAAGAGCATGATAATGGAAATTGGGAAGACATTACAAATATTAACAAAAGGTATCTGAACTGCTTGAAATTTTTGTGTACAGTCAAGCTTATGTCCAAAAAGGTATGCAGAAAGTATCTTTTCTTACTACATAAGAAACTAAAATCATAACAACAACAAAACTCCAGCAAAGTAAAAGTTACTGTTGGTTAGCCTACAAGCATACCAGTCAAAGTAGTGTTTACTAGAGAAAAGTTCTCAGTTCCAAACATGTCTACTATGTGAGTATAGTGAACAAGACACACATGGTCTAAGCTCCCACACCCAGCCGATACTAAAACCTGGTAACCAAGCAGTAACACTACAGAAAATAAAGGGCTGAGGCAGAAAAGAGCTGGACGTACACATTTTAAATAGTGATGGAAGTCAGCAAAGAAGGAGCTATTATACCCAGCTCCGAAGAAAAGAAGGACTAGGTATTTTAAGAGCAGGATAAAGAATAGTCCAAGAAATGGAGAACGGGGCAGTAAAGTGTACTTGTTCAGGTACCTGAGAGATCACAAAGGCAGAACTAAAGTATAAATCAGACAGGAAAATGAAGTCTGAAACATCAATGACTATAGAGATTCATAAGCTATGGTTAAGAATTAAGATTTGATGGAAAACTATCAATGAACAACAAAACTTCCAATTTCAGAGTACAGCCTGTTAACTGAGAACAGATTTTCATAATTATGAAAGCAATTTTAAACTATAAAAAAAATGGCTGCCTGTGGAAACTCAGTTTATAACATTAACAGCTACCGCAACCTTTCCACTTGTACTCAGTAAACACCCTCCCTCCTGTTACAATCTGGCTCTAGTGCCCTGCTTTCATGTAGCCCTTATCTTTCTTTGAAAATTTTTTGTTTGTAGAGCTTTATTTTGTCTTTATCCCCCACAATGCTCTCCAAGTCCCATGACCACAGAATCATTTCTGTCTTAACATGCTTTTCCCCCACAATCTTGTACTGTAGTTGACATTAAAAAGAAAACCAATACTTACTGAATATCATTTTGCTAGTAATTAATGAGCAGTTGGTTGTTCTACACCTAGAAGGATATGCCATTCTACATTCTCAAGAAGTGCAAAGGCTAGGTGAGTGGATCTTGTCCTCAACTAAGTTGTATCATGTGCCAGGCAATAAACTTTTTGGAAGCATAAAGGGGACATGATCTGACAAAGCCATTTATCTTGTGTAGGCATGGCTATATATGTTCAACAAAGAAATGATACTTAGTGAATACATTTACTAAAATCAACTACTTTTTAAGTTTTCAAGTCTCTCACGTAAAACGTATGTAACAGCATCCCACCCATCTTATCCCTGTCATGGAGGGGGGTATCTGATAAATACCACATTTAAAACAACAAAAGCAGAAACAGAAAACTCAACTGCTGAGCAGACCAAAAGGTAAACTTACACAATATCCAACTTGTGTGAAATTCTAGAACTTCTCTTCCTCCCCCCATGTTTAAGGGTGCCAAGTTCTTATCTGCACTGATTCAGCAGTATGTTTACAAGCTTTTCAGGGGGATCCAGTAGTAGACAGCTTGCCCACCTCTGACACTACTAAAGAAAAATACTAATAGTGAGACTATTAGGGAGGGGACCCTAGAACAAAGGACAAAGGAAAGAGGAAGAAAAACGGGAGTAAGAAAAGAAAATTAATAGGCTCACAAGATTGCCCTCAGCATTAACAAATAATATATTTGCTCTGTATCTTTTTTATGTATTTTATGCATCATAAAATTGTTATGTTTAACATTTAACAGATGATACATAAAACAAGTTTGGAGGGAAGCTTTCTCTGTACACTTGGAAGCAAACAGTACTGTGTAACACAACTTAGATCTGGTGTTTTGCTGAAGTGAAATCTCGTGCTCCTTAAAAAGGGAAATAACTTTCATGAGGGGTGGGGGTAAGCCTAGAGTCTTATTCATTTTTCTGTTCTCTTAAAAAGAGTGAAGCATGACCCTCAAAATGAATACCAGCACCATTTCTAGCCAGTTTAAAGAGCAAAATATGTAGCCTAGAAAAGAGAGTTCTATACAATAAAATATAATTGGTGGTAATGTGACAGGCAGATTTACTTAATTCGATTTTTACAAGGAAGGATTGTAATGACCAGTTGTACAGGGAATATAGTTTCTCAGCATAGAATAAATAAATAAATACACAGCAAAACGATTTTATAACTTCAAATTTCTGGAATTCTACAAACGCCAATAGTCTTAAATTGGTAATGTTCCAAATGTATACAGTTTACCTTGAATTTGAGCCAGTCAATTCGACACACGTATTTGAACACATCACTGACAGTTCTAAAGTAGGAAGGAAATATTCTAACTACTCACGGATAAATAAATGTTGAAAAGCAACTACGGATTGTTGCCTGATGAGTTAGGAGTTTTAGCAAAACCATATATTCAATAGCAATGATACAACATGGCAAAAACTGGTAACAAAATGCCAAGCACCGAACTGGAAAAAATCAAACTCGGTAAAATATAAGGCTTGAGGTTCAGCCAAGCGTTCCTGGGAACACAGGCAAACCCCGGCAACCTCCTTCTAAGAACGAGACTGAAATAAACTCTAGTTGGCAATCTCTGAGCTTGTCAATATGGGCTGAAATTTCTAGAAAAGTTGCTGAACAAGAAGCGTGGCCCAAGCCAGGAAACATCACCACCGCCTTCCAAAGGCTTCAAGGCAAAGACGGCACAGGATGCTGCACGGTTCGGTTCGTGGACTTGGCAGCACCGGGCCAGGAGGGTGTGGACCTGCCAGGCAAGGTCGGTTCCGCGCGGCCAGCGCCCCAGTCCTTGGCTCGCCCTGGGCCGCCCTGGGGTGCTGCCTCCCGCGACCCGCGGCTCGCACACCGCGCAGGCGCCCCTCCACCTCCGACTCTAGAGCTCTCAGGACAGCCAGAGTCGCCCCCGCCCTCCCCACAACGCCGCGCGCGAGGCCACCCGGCGCCAGCAAGGACGGCATTTGCCTCAACTAGTCTGTCCGCAGCCACCCAGTTACGTCCAGCCCACAGCCTCCTGCCCTCGCTCCCCTCTTCCCGGGAGAAACGCACCCCACCACGTCCGCGACATCCCCGCCGCTTCCCCAGGCCGGGCCCCCGCAGCCTTACCCCGACCCAACAAGCACAAGCCTAGAAATAGCAACTCCGAGCCCAGCCGACTGAGTGACTGATAGGCAGCAGCACGTTCACGACACTTTCACGATTGCCGTAAAGCGGTGGGCTGAGAAAAGCCTGCTGCGCGTCTCCGTGCTGCTTGGGAGCGCGCCCCGGGGCTCCGCCCTGACTCCTGTAGCGGGCTGGCTCTGCATCCTGAGGCCGGAGCTGGCGGGTCCTGGACGGGAAAGGAAGACCCAGAGGTGGGTGGAGGAGAATGGCTGGCCTAGCCCCGAGCGGGGGTGTCTAGCTGGAGGCTGCGTCGGAAGATGGGCTCTCACGTGTCAGGCGAGGGCGCAGCGCGAGTCCCTAGCCCCACGCGGGGCGCGCGCCTAACCTGGTTCCGGGAGCTTCGCCGTGCACTTGACCCTTCGAGGGCCACCTCCGGGAACCCACGTTTCGCGGTGGATGACAACTAGGCTGAGGTTCCCGCAGCCCACTTTTTCTCTCTTCGGTGCCTCTACCACCAGCATGCCCCCAAGTGGTGCTTCGTGCCAAGGGCATCGCTTATATTTTCCTTGTCCCAGGCACAGCGAAGCTCTTGTACTACAAGACTTGGGAGGAAGGCGGTGTGAGAGGGAGAAAGAAAAAAGAAGTGTCTTAAACACTCTGCTTTTGTTGAAGCAGCTAAGGAAACCTTTGAGTACCTTTTGTCATTCCTGAGCCCTTGTTTCTAGTTCTTGGGGGCTGGGGAAGTTCGAAACTGAGATGAGTGGTGTGACCTTGTATTTATTTACACAGAGCTCAGTCTACAACCCATGATTGTGTTTCAGGGAGTGGTCCCTAGCTGAAAGGAAATTACTAGTCCGGTGAATCCTAACAGCCTCGGTCCTTTGAAAAGCAGTGAAACAGGAATAAGTTCTCCAGATTTCCCAATTTTAATTTATAAAGAATTCATACTCATTTCTCGGCCCTGTAACTAGACTATTTAGGATTAGCCATTAGAAAATATTACATTTGTCAAGAGGCCATATTAGAGTTCAGGAAAATAGTCATTTTAATGCTTTGGGACCTGATGGTTCTGTGTACCTCTGAAAAAAGCCTGGAACTGCCTGTTTGTTCACTTGGAACATCCAGAGTTTACATTTTTATTATTCTTTAGCTGTCACCACTTAGAAGGGACAACATAACGAAGTTCATCTTATTACCAGTGGCTCTTATATGTTTGTGAGAAAAAAATGTAACTGGATTTCTGATTCATGGAACTTCAAAGAAAACAGAAGATGGGTGAGAGATACAAAACAATTTGTTAAAATTCTTACTGTTGTCTAAAGTTTTATATTTTCAAGTAATTTTAAAGCTTTTTTTTGGTACTGGAAATTGAATTTAAGTCCTCTTGTTTGCTTTGCAAACACTCTACCCATGTCTTTAAAAGGGTTCTTGAATGTTTTAACTACTAAAATGGTGAACCATTATAATTCTCATCTACTTGGTCTAAAATACTTTAGCTTTTGGAGGTGAAGGTGCCTGGACAATTAGTAGTCTTCCTTACCCATCCTGTGTATTTTAGTTTCTCAGTTGTCACTGGCAGACTGTTACAGTATTTTAAGCCCTGCCTTGCCTCTAAACTGTCAGTTTAAACAACTAGAATCTTCAAAACCTAAACATATAAATATATCATACCTCGAAGAAAGTCATATACAGCCAAGTATAGGTAGTTGTGACTACAAAATTGATAAATCATTGTAGTATTTTATACTGATATTTCAAATTAGAACACTGTATCTCAGAAATTAAGTAATTTGCCTGAATTCCAATAACTAGAAAGTCATAATTTTGGGATTAAAAAAAACCACATTGTGTTTAGGGGTTAGGGAAATGTGTCTTCTGTGCCAAACAATTTACTTCCTACAATTAAAACATTTTCTTAATTACAGCCGGTACATCACTGATATTAAAAATTTCAGGCATCAGCTCTTTAATGAAAAGCAGTTTGCTTATAATACTACATTCTAATGTTCAGGCTACAGATACTGTTTGTTCACTGGCTAAGAATTGTGTTGCTTAAAATCATGTAGTTGAAATAATAACATATTTTCTATGTATATAGATTTCAGGATTTACAAAAGGAACAAGTTTAGGAAGTTCTGAAGATTGAAATTTTGTGAACTCATAAAATAGGTAATTTATCTTTCACATTGTAAAGAGGAGCAAATATTTAATAACCGCTTATAATAGTACCTAACATTTCTAGCCAGGTGGTGGTGGTGCACGCCTTTAATCCCAGCACTCGGGTGGCAGAGCCAGGCGGATCTCTGTGAGTTCGAGGCCAACCTGGGCTACCAAGTGAGTTCCAGGAAAGGCACGAAGCTACACAGAGAAACCCTGTCTTGAAAAACCAAAAATAATAATAATAATAGTACCTAACGTTTATTATCTCATTTAGTATTTTAGTAAACCTCACTGAAACAGCTATTCTTTTAAACTGTTTAACAAATAGTACTGGGGCTTTGGGATGGCTCAGCATGTAACATAATCACCAGCAACTCTGAAGACCTGAGTTCAATCCCTCCGACACACACATAGCAGAAAGAGAAAACTGATTTCTGAAATTTATTCTCTGGCCACATGGCATGTACACCCCTACACACACACACACACACACACACACACACACACACACACACATACACACACACACACACACACACACACACACGCACAAAACCACATAAACAGATGTACTTTTAAAGTATTTGACACTATTAAAAGCTACTACTGGTTATATATCACCAGTGTGTTGAGTTCTTTCCTTGTTGTCACAGTAACTTCTGTAATAACTATCTAGCACAGTCTGGTAGAACATTTCCATGATAAGGAAACGTTCTGTACTTTTATTGTCTTGTTGCTAGCCACTAGATTGGCTCTGAGCATTTGAACTGTGATGAATACAACATAGGAACTGAAATTTGGAATTTTATTATATATTCATTTGAATAACTGCATGTCTAGTAACTGCATTTCTAGTAACTACTGCATGGATGGGCAATCTGTGCTGAAAATATTTCCAATTTTCAAAGGAGAAACTGGCTCAGGTGAGTGTTGAGGCTTGCCCAGTCTCACATAGTTTTGCTTTAAAAAACTGTTACATAGGGGAATGGTTAATTGGAAATGCAGATTGTATGGATGGAGAGGGGAAAAAAGCAGTCTATCCAGGAATGGAGACTCTAAACAAGAGTAGCTACACTTTACAATGAGTGGAAGGATGAAAGAAAGGAATAAATAACTTACAGAAATAGAATTGCCATTATTTAGTGATAGCATATGAGATTTTGGAGAAAGCCTACTCTGCAGGAGTTACTGTGAAGTCCAGGAATCTGAGAAAAATGATAATGCTGCTTATTGAAATAGAAAATACAAGACCGGTTACTAGAGTTAAGATGATTTGGTGTCAGTTTTTTGTTCTTTCAACAAGTGTTAAGTGATGGTGGGTGAGTCCCTGTGTTTGCAATTGGGGACGTGGAATCTCTCTCATTCACTTCACATACCTTCATAAATGTTCATACGAGAGAAGAAAAGAGCTAGAGATGTGCAAGTCAAATTTTCTCAGCAAGTGCTTACTTTTTCATGCAAAGAGATTGGCAAAGGTTGTGTGTGTAGAAGATAGTATTTCTGCCGTGTGTGTATGTGTGTGTGTGTGTGTTTCTGTATGTGCTGGTGCACATGTATGCAAGTGGTTGTTGAGGACAGAGTACAACCTCAGGTGTCATCTACCTTTTCAAAGGTAGAATGTGTCACTGGCCTGGAATTTGCCATGTAGGCTAGGCTGACTGATGAGCCCCAGTAACCGTCTCTTCCTCCTCAGCACTAGGATTACAAGCACTCTGCCACACCTGGCTTTATTTACATGGATTCTGGGTTAAACTGAACTATCTTTCCAGCCCTCTGCTGTGTTTTGAATATTAAGAAGGATCTAGAAGTAAAAGATAGTAAAATGGGGAGGAGTGGGATACTAGTAGTGGGATGAGCAAAATGTTTTGAGCATACCTTTTACCCAAACACCTAAATTCTGAATAAGTCATGTTAGCTTTTTAAATACAAAACACATTTTCTATGAAAGAAAATGGAATTCCTCAGCCAGGCATCGTGGCTCATGCCTGTAATCCCAGAATTTGGAGGTCAGATGGGAGGATTTGAAGTTTGGAGTAACTCAGATAATAGTGTATTCCAGGCCAACCAGAACCGAATGGTAAAACCTTATGTTAACCAACCACACTTCCTAGAACAAGGAAAGGGAAATGTTCCAGACTGAAAAGTCAAAACAAGGAACTGAAGCAAGAGAGATAAACTAGCTGTTATCTTCTTTGTAAGCATTTGGCTTATAACTGAAAAAGAACAGTCAAGGACAAGGAATACAATTCTGCTTCCTACTGGAACAGGAAGGGAGGATTCATACCTAGATATCCTGGTTACATGATCTACACAGCATGCTTATGGTTTATGCAAATGGTATTGAGATGTCAGTGAATAATATTTTCATAAGATAAAATACAAACATTTCCTCATAATTACATAACTCACAACCTCTGAACTACCTTTTAACAAATTTAGTCAGGATCTATGTCTACACATACTTGGTGAATGGAGAGCCAGAAAAATCTCTCCCTCTTGACAAAGAGACATCACTGAACTTTGTTTTCTCCACACGTCCAGGTGGAAGAATAAAGACGCCATCTGAGGACTGGAAACTGTATAAAACCTACCATCACTGATTCAAAGTTCAAGCTCGCAGTCTACATGGACTGAAAAACTAGAAGCCAAGAATTAACACAAAGTTGGCCCAGGTTAGTAATAAGTCCATGTGCCTAGCAAAATCAAATACAGACTCTCCTTGGTAATTCATCCTTAATTTCTCTCTCCTTGAAACAATTCATCCTTAATTTCGTGTGCCCCCCCCCCAGTGTGTGTGTGTGTGTGTGTGTGTGTGTGTGTGTGTGTGTGTGTACGTGTACACATGCATGTTCCTGTTCAAGTGTGTCATGGTGCACATGTGCCTGTCAGAGAACAACATATAGGAGTCAGTTCTTTCCTTCTGTCATGTGGATTCTGGAACTCCAACTCACCATTAAGTTTCTTAGAATTGGTCTTTTAAAACTTTTTTCACTCATAACTCTTTCTCACCAAAGGAATTTTTACATGATGTTGGGTATATAGATACATGAACTAGGTAAGTAAATCAAACCATGATAAAATCATAAGAAATTTATTTTAAAACAGTTCTTTGGTAAACATATAGTTTTACCATTTATGAAAGATCGTAGCAAATTTGAATGCTAATGTGGCGAATAAACTTGTTTAATTTTATATTAACTATTAAATCACTGAATGTTTGACACTCTAGGGCAGTGTTTCTCAACTTGTGGGTCATGTCCCCTTTGGGGTCAAACAACGCTTTCACAGGGGTTGTGTAAGACTATCGGAAAACATAGATATTTACATTCCAGTTCAAAAAAATAGCAAAATTACAGTTATGAAGTAGCAGAGAAAGTAATTTTATCATTGGGGCTCACCACAAATGAGGAACTGTATTAAAGGGCTGCAGCGTTAGGAAGGTTGAGAACCACTGCTCTAGGGCAAAGTACATCCTCTGTGTTTTTCAGAGTTAATAGACTTTATTTTATCCCATTTATACTCCTTTGCATAAATATGTCATGCTAGGTGGCAGAAGTCCATTTAGGACCATTTCATTTGCTAGCAATATTTTCCTAATGCCAAACTGAAATCATTTAATGACTTTTTGTTTGCTTGTTTGTTTGTTTGTTTTGGCTCAAATCTGTAAATCTGAAATTTTAAAATCAAATATTCAAACCATTTCAATCAAGATATACTACACACTGAGGAATGACAGGAAAATATGAAAGTATTTGTTTTCTGTAATTAAACCATTATGCTTAAGAACAGAAAACTTTGTATTTACACTGAAACCTGATTCCTAACACACAGTAGCTTTGAATCTGATTAAGGTGTTTCAGGCAGTGTCCACTGATAGTGAGTACATGGTGCAAAGTGTACCTTGTGAGATCTGAGCCGAGACTGCACAGAAATTGTGTAATACACGCCCAGACAAACACCCTCAGGTGTTTCTGGGCTCATCACACTGTTGAATTTGGATTACTGTTGCATGTTCAGAAACCTTTTCCTGTTACCAGATTTTTTCATGGCCCATAGTTTAAGAAGCTAGAGTTTAGAATACTTTCAGATTTAAGATCCCACAAATACAAGCTCATAGTTGGAAGCCATGAAAAACATGGAAGAAGTTTGGGAGGGTAGTTCAGTTTGTAGAGCACCTAGCATGCAGGAAACACTGGGTTAGATTCCTAGTACTGCATAAACTGGATGTAATGGCACATGCCTATGAAATCATAAACCTTCTTGACTACAGAGGGAGTTCTTAGCAAGTCTAGAATTAAAAAAAGAAATCATGTAGATTTTTCTCATTTTGAAGTTTTATAGTTAATGTAGTTTTGTCATTTCATAGGGCATTCTATGATCAGTTTTGAGTTAATGATTTATAGAAGTATAGTGTATGGCTTATTATTTCATAGATAGGACAAGTTGGTCCAGTACCTTTTGTGTACATGATAGCCTTTGCTTGATTATGTTGCCTTTATTCCTTTGCTAAATAAAGATTAGTTGGCTTTATCTAATTGTGGGGGACGGGAAACTGTTTCAAAAAATATTGGAGACTATATACTGGCACATTGCAGGTTTCTAAGAGGTCAAGCTCTAAGAAAAGCACATGTAAGACTTGGCAAAACCAACAAATAATAGAACTGGATTCCTGCAGACTTGAGAGAAGAACTATTTGGAAACAGGAATTAAAATAGCATTTAAGAGCTGACTAAGGAAATGTAACTATCAAGATTATTCTCTCAAAAACCTACTCTAGAAAAAGCACCTAGAGGATGTTGGCAAGGAATTTGCAAGAAGAATAAATAGATAATTGAAAATGCTGATAGAACATTAAGGACTGGTAGAAAAGAGAAAAACCCTAGGAGATTGTGACGGTTTAGACAGGAAATTACTTGACTCAAGCTTTTACTGGTAGCTTTTTAGAACAAAGGAAAAGAAACTTACTTAGCAATATAAATATACTTATTTTGCAACTAGTCATATGATTGAAACAGATGACAAGTTGCAAGTGGCTGAGATTTCATCATTGGGAAAGTCAGGCTGAGACAAGGAAGTAGAAGATTGTAGAGCATTATTCAAACTCAAGGAATTTGATTTGGTATTTACAAAGTTAATGAGAATTACTAGGAACAATTACTTTTAATTTTAAAGTATTTATATTTTTAGCAATTAAATTTCTAAAACTTTAAGTAAATGAAGAGATAATTCACATTCTTGACTTGTTAGTACATAACATCTTCAGTCTAGAGTTTAAGGAGAAAATGGCATGTAGTATGTATTTAAGTGAATTTTTTTTTAATTCTTCATATAGGAGCTGGAAATATAATAGTTTCTGGCTTCTAAAACAACTCTTTCTTGTTCTTCTAAAACTGAAGTTTAATAAGAAAGGAAAACCAAACAAGATGTTACTATTCAGTGTGATTGGTGGTGTTGTTGGTGATGTACAGGCTGCTGCTGGAAACAGAAAGGACATTTAGCTAGAGCTAGACGTGAAAAAATGTGTAGAGATTGGAGCTGGAGAGATGACTAGGCTGTTCAGAGCACTGGGTGTTCTTCCAGAGGAGAAGAGGACTTAGGTTCAATTCCCAGCACCCACAGAGCAGCTTACAACCATCTAACTGTAACTCCAACTCCAAGGGATCCAACACTCTCTTCTGACCTCTCAAGGCACCGGGGATACATACACAGACATATATGCAAGCAAAACACTCATACACATAAAATAATTAAAAACAAAAATGTGTAGAGTAGGTGTGGAGGTGATGATAGCCTCAGGTAAGCAGTGTGTTCCTCTGTGGTGTGTCTGCAGTCACTGAACCCACGCTTCTGGATAGTTGTATTCTTCTGACACTTAGTTTACTGAGCACCTTGGGGCCCAGGTGGCTCAATTTTGTACCATCCATGGACATATTGCTCACAGGCAGGTCCAGCAAGTAGTTCTTCTCTTTGTGTAGGGAAATAAAGAAAAGTTTCTTGAAATAGCAAAGCAGCTGCATCTCAGTCATGGGAACTCTGCTGTCATGCAAATATTCCTCTACTTCCCCTTTACCATCAACATAGCCTTTTGCAAGCTTTCTGCCTATCAACTTCCCGTGTTCTCCAGGCTACTGTAGATCACAGTGAAAGCCCTGGTGCTTGGGCAGATTTACTAGCAGATGTCTTTCTTGTCATCCTGTTCTGGCTGCAGTGCTCCCACTCATTGGTCTTGATAAGGAAACCAGAACTGTGATCAGGAATAGCCCTAAGTCCTACTGTCCTTTGCTGTCTTCTCTCTACCATCCATAGTCACAAGTCAAACTCTGGACCCTATCTTCTTGAGAAGCTGATACGACTCAGTTGGTAGATGACTTATCTGGTATACCCGAACTCCTGGGTTTGATCCTCAGAACCTGAGCAACCAGGTATGGTGTGGTATACGCTTGGAATCCCAACAATTAAGGTAGCCAGCTTGGAATGCTTGAGACCTTGTTTCAGAGAAAGAGTGGCACACTGACACATACATAGACAGGCAGGCTGAGACTGAGGTGGAGAGTCACTGACCTCTGGATTTCAAGGTTTTAGGTACAACTTGGCTGACAAAGGGAAAAAATGTGTTTGGCTCCAAATACCACATTTCTTGTTTACCATGAGGGCCTGCATGAGAGGGATGAGGTCCAAAAAGCCTGACCAGAGAAACTATGGGTCAGGTGTAGAATATAGCACAAATTGACAATCTCCACCACCCACTTCAGCTCAAGAGCTCTTCCCCTCATCTAGATGTCTTCTGTGCTGGCATTTATACTGTGGATTATGGGCATCCTCCACCACTTCTTTTGTTCAACTGATTTGTCTCTTTTGGATTTTGAACTGAAACTGCATTATAGAGGCATGATTGTATGAAATGTATGAAAAATCCCAAACTTCTCATCATGCCTCAGTCTTTCCTTCTAAGGGTGGTTAGGGGCTACACTGCCCAGCCAACTCATCAGTATATAAGACATTTGCCAGTCTAGAGATTACAAAGATTTTATTTGCTTTCTTTTCCCCAGAAAACAGAAGACCACATTCACTGATTTGACCAATTGTAGGTTGAGAATATTAGGGGAAAAAAAACCAGCTGTATTGTAGATGTAAGGATATTTTTAGTGTCTGAATAATACATTGTAACAACTGCCTTAATTGATTTACATTATTATAATATAGACATGACCTAAATTGTATGGGGTATATGTAGATTATAGGCAAATCCTATGCATTTTGTATGAAGGACTTGAACATTTTTGTATTTTGTTATCATTGAGGTGCTTATGATACAGAAGGGTAGCTTTATACTTAATAGCATTGCAAGGTCCAGTTAGAAAGTTATTCTAATAATCTGGTCAAAGATGATAGCAGTTTAGGTAGAGTAGTAGCAGTGAAGATGGAGAGAGAAGGTAGATTGCACAGAAATAAAGGAGAAGAGTCAGGATTGGGACTTAGTTATGTGTGAAATGATGAGGTAGAAAGCAAGTTTCCGGCTGTGGCCAGTGGGTGAGTCTTAGTTCTGAAAAATGAAGAGGTGCTGGAATGGTATGGTGAGGAGGCTTGTGGGATAAGAGTACATACAGGTGTGGGGATGCTTGCACATCAAGAATGCAAGTTTTAGGGAGTGAGTGACTAACAACGAGTGGGAAAACTTATCCATTACTGTTTCTCATTTGTATTTTCTGCTGTAGACAACCTGTTTGAAATGTGGTGGTTTCAGCAAGGCCTCAGTTTCCTGCCATCAGTACTTGTAATTTGGACATTTGCTACCTTCGTATTCTCATACATCACTGCAATAACACTCCACCATGTTGATCCTGCATTGCCCTATATCAGGTCAGTGAAACATATTGGTCATTTAGAAGTAACTCCCAGCTTCAGGACTGGAATTGGAACACAGGTCTAAGTAAGTGCCCTGCCACCAAGCTACTTTCCCAGACCACGGAGAGTCTTTATAACTAGTTCATAGTGTTCATTGAATATGGCCTTTCAATTTCCATTTGAAAATTCAAGTTTTTATGCTGCCATTATAGCAAAGGGAACATAAAATAGAACTTGCATTTGATTTTCTCCATACAATGGAGAAAAATGGGAACAGTGGGATGAGTCATAGATGCTAATCTTTTAGTAACTTGTCTTTTAAAAAATTGCTTGAGCTTGCCTCAGAAATTAGAATTAGAATTACTTTCCTCTTAAAGTTCAAAAAGTTGTACACAATAGTAGTATTAGGAAAATGTAGTAGTACTGGCAAATAGTTACTGATTTATTGTGTGAAAAGGTAATGTTCTAAGTCCTCTTCATGCCTTGGGTAATCGAGTCCATATATCATCCATGTGAGGTAGAGAAATTTATCCCCATTTAAGAAGAAAGGCCCTGTAGTCATCCTCTGTTACTGTAATATAAATCTGAAATAACCAACTAAAGGAGAAAAGGTTTGCTTTGTCTCACAATTGTAGAGGTATCAGACCATGATTAATCAGTCCTATTGCTTTGAGCCTGGGGCAAGACAAATGTCAGGGGAACAGAAGCACTCACCTCATGACCTGTAAGCCAAAGCAAGCAAGAAGGAGTCCAGAGCTTTGTATTTCCCTTTAAATGTGCATGCCCAATGACCTACAGACCTCTTACTGGGCCTAACATCTTAAAGGGCCCACCAACTACCCATAATGCTTCCCTGTGGACTAAATCTCAAACACCCTCAATAGCTATATCACAGAAGTAAGGTCCTGGAAAGGTATGTGTTTTGCTCAAAGATACACAACTTATTCAGTGATGGAACCAAGATTTATACCTACAGTCTTATTCTAGGGACTTTGTTTTTACTTTTCATGACCTGCTGGCTAGATATTTCTGACAAAATAGGTATCAATAGTTATATTTTTGAAATTTCAAAACTACTAACAATTTAATTATGGGTGTTACATGTACTGTGTTTATAACCACTTTTATTATGAGTGTTTATCACGCAATGTATGTGTACATGCTTGATGCCAGCCAGGTTAGTGCATCAAAGCCCTTGGAATTGGAGTTACAGAGGACTGGAAACAGCCATGTAAGTGCTAGAAACTGAACCCAGGTCCTTTATAAGAGCAGCAAGTGCTGTTAACTTCTGAGCCACCTTTCTAGCTCTGCTCATCCCATCTTTTTAAAATTGAAGCAGTGAGTAATGTAGTTGGAAGGTTTCTCCGGTCTTGCCCCGCATTCCTCTGGTCCCTCCCAACCCCAACAGTCCCTCAGCCACTTATAAAATAATCATTCAGAGGCTTAATATTATTTACAAACTCTGTAGTCTATGGCAGGCGTCTTACTAGCTAGCTCTTATATCTTAAATTAACCCATTTCTATTTATTTATAAGTTGCCATGTGGCCATGGCTTACTGGCACTTTCACATCTTGCTTCTCCTGGCGGTGCTGGTGTCTCTCTAGACTCCACCTTTCTCTTTCCTGTCTCTCTCCGTGGATTTCCCACCTGCCTCTATGTTGCCTTGCCATAGGCCAAAGCAGCTTATTTATTAACCAATGGGAACAGCACATATCCACAGTGTATAGAAAGACATCCCCCAGCAAAGTAAGTATTGCAACAAGCTTAACAAGTTGATGCTGCTTATAAACAGAAAGTCAGTGGGGCTGAGCTGTTGCAGAGGATCCATGTGTGGTTCCCAGTGCCCACATAGAGTGGCTCCCAACTCCTGTAATTCCAGTTTCAGGGCACGTGATGCCTGCTTCTGGCTCCCACAGGCATACACACATAACATGAATTCAAAGTGAAAAAAATTTTGAAAAGTCAAGTGAAAGTCCCTTTTTGACTCCTGAAGTTGCTGCCTCTGAAGGTGACACATGGTTGATAGCTTTCCTTTCAGACTTTGTTTTGTCGTCCATGATTTAAAGAATTTTCTCCCTTTTCTTCTTTTCCTCTTTCTTACTGTAATATTTTTCTTATTCTGTAATTTTCATTTTTAAAAGTAATAAGATGTTATCTCCCCCTCTGGCTTTTAGAAATAATATGATAATAAAGACCCATCGCACAACTTTACATACTGTGCTGAAATATATGTATATTTCTCTATGTGGTATTGCTGGATAGACAACATGGTAAAAAGGCTTTGAATTTGACACTGCCAGACATGTTTATGCATTCACAAAGAGAATACGAGAAAAATAATAATTATGGTTTCTAAGATACTAAAGTTTAAAAACATTTTTGAAAGGAAAAGGTGAATTAAATAGGGAGAGAGGAAGAGTTAAAGGAATTAAATAGGGTTAGAGGTGCTAAAAACACCATCATCAAGTACAGCTCAGCAGGCCCTGGTGTTTTCATCCAAATGATTCCACCTGGAATATAGCAGAAGCCTTTGAAACATCTTAGAGACACTGAATGAACTACTTTTTTTTTTTAACCTTTGTCTAACCTTTGTATTTGTTGCAATTGTTTCATTTCCTCATTTGTTTCTGGTAGATAACCCTTCTAACACAGAAAACATCAACTTTAAAAAAAAAGTGATAAACCAGAAGGTTCAGTTGAGCCATTAAAACAGACGAGTTTTTATGCTTTGGCAAATAAGTGGACTTCAGAAGGGGTACCTTATGGCTATGGTTTCTATAATGGCGATAACACACAAAGGTCATACACAAATTGGGTGCACTTAGAGATGTTCATAAAACCAACAATTTTTTATGATTTCAGGAGTTCATTTCTAGTAATAATTTGGCAATTACCCTTTTGTTAGAGAAGCATACAACCAAAGGAGCCAGACAAATTCCTTGTAACTCTGCAAGAAGGTGCATGTTTGAATTGATGAGGGCCTGTCCACATTTTTTATTTCTCCTTCTGAAAACTTATCTTCTTGCATTCAGAGCTTTCTGTAACCTAGGAGCTAATGAGTGTCTTGAGTGTTTCAGTTCTCTGTCAGTCTTGTCTGTGACCTTTCCAAGTTCCCTGGACACTCCTCCCCCCACCCCATTTCCTTCTGCTTTTATTTTTCTGATGAAAAGCTCTGTTTTGCTCTGAGCTCTTTCTCTAAAGTAAGATATTTAAATTGTACCTATTCTCCACTTAGACTCATTTCTTTGATCTGCATGATATATAACTAAGTTAAGCTAAATATTCTGCAAAAGGATTTCCTTTGGTTTGTGGGTGTTATCCAAACAGTTACAGCCCCAAAGGACACAAGCAAATGCAAAATTCACTTCCAAAGTGAGTTTATAAGTAGTGTGCTTCAGATGGGGTGCCAGCCATTGGGCTGTACGCCAAAGGAAACAGTCCAGGGAAGGAGTACACACAGTGGGAGAGAATCTTCGACAGCCATACATCTGATGAAGGATTAATATCCAAAATATGCAAAGAACTAAAAAAAAATAAAGAGCCAAGAAAATGATCTAATTAAAAATAGGCTATAGATCTGAACAGAATTCAAAAGAAATAAAAATGGCTAAGAAATATCTCAAAAAGTACTTAACATCCTTAGCAATTAGAGAATGCAAATTAAAACTCCTTTGAGATTTCATCATCCAGCAGTCAAAATGGCTAAGATCAACTGACAGAAATGCTAGCAAGGATGTAGGGAAAGGTGAACCCTCATTTACTGTTTATGGGATTGCAAAAACAATGTATAGAATTCTTACAAAGCTAAAAATAAATCTACTATGTGACCCAGCTGTACCACTCCTTGGCCTATTGCTCAAGGATTTGACATCCTGCTCCTCAGATACTTGCTCAGCCATGTTTATTAACAGTCTATCCACAGGAGCTAGGAAATGGAAGCAACCTAAATGTCCTTCCACTGATGAATGGATGGATAATGAAAACCTAGTACAAATACACAATAAAATACTATTAAGCTGTAATGAAAAATGAAATTATGAAATGTTCAGGTACATGAATCAAGCCAGAAAAGGCTATATTGAGTTAGGTAATCCTGACCCAGAAAAAAATGCTGCATGTTCTTTCTCATCTGAAGTTCCTAGCTCCAAATCTTCAGATGTGAGTACATATCCTGGAGCAATTGCAGAAACCAAGAAAGTAAAAAGGGACTATGGATGAGAAGGAAGGAGCTCTAGAGAGGGGAGTAGCAAGATACAGGTCCTGTGAAGCGGGAAAAAATGGTATGGGAGCAATACAGAGAAGAGAGGGGAGGAAGAATAAATAACTTTGTAGATGTTTGAAAAGCCATATGGACTCATTAGTTTATGTTTATCTGAACTTACATATAATATATATAACTGTATGTATATACCAATATGTAGTTTAAATGAAAATTAGCCCCATGGAGTGATAGGATTCTCCCTGCAGTAGCCATAGACTACCTAGCAAAAACCCAAGTATAGGCATAAGAAGCTTCCTTTGTGTTGTTGGTCAGGTGATTCCAAGCAACTCCCCAAAGAGTACAAACTATTGCTCTTGCTCTTGATTGCCTCACAGAATGTGAAGGTAAGTCCCTATTGCTGAAGACCCATGCACTTTAGACACAGGACTAAGAATTCAAGCTGAATCTGACCTGGAAGCCTGCTCCTTGAGGACTAGCTTTCATAGTACTAGAATGTGCTGTGCTAGCTGCGAAAGGAGAAAAGCAATCGATAGCCCTACCCAGTTGTGATGCCTACAAAGTACAACAATGACCAACACGGCAAAGATATCCCTAAAGGTGCAATAGTGGCTGCTGTATCAGGGCAGTAATAATCTGTAATACTTTATTTCAAGACTAACAACTTGGCCTTTTTAATCTTTGTAGTAGTTTTAGAGAAAGGAAAGGCAGTAATGCTTATTGGATGTCTCTGCTCTGCTGGACAGTTTACATGCATTACCTCACATTTTATTTCATCCTTGTGTTGATCCAGCAAAGCTGGGAATGAATGAATAGTTCCAGTTAGCAGATGAAAAAATAGTGTTAAGGAGATAAAAGAATGTATTGAAAGATTTACAATTTTTAAATGGTTTGTTTCTATCTTGGTCTGTGCAGTAGTCCACAGTGCCCTGGAGGATAAGAGTGTAAAAAGATCTGTTGAAATGCATTGTAGTAAGTGGTTTTGAGGATCCTGGACAGAGTGTTGTCAGTTATGGTTTACTAGAGGACTGGTCAAAGGTTAAAAGTAAGAAGATGCTCAAAATGGGTCCTGAATGTGAGTTCCGTGAGGGTGGAGGTTTTGTCAGACTTTTTTATCCTCTCTACTCCTGTCCCAGAAATGATAACTACAGAAGTTTAAATGAAAATGGCCCTCATAGGCCCATAGGGAGTGGCACTACTAGGAGGCATGGCTTTGTTGGAGGAAGTGTGTCACCAGGCTTTGGGGTTTCAGAATCTCAAGCCAGGCCTAGTGTCACTCTCTTCTTCCTGCTGCCTGCTGATCCAGATGTAAAATCCTTGGCTCCTTCTCCAACACCATGTCTGCCTGCATGCTGCCATGCTTCCTGCCATGATGATAATGAACTGAACCTCTGAACCTGTAAGCCAGCTCAAATTAAATGTTTTTCTAAGAGTTGGCCATTGTGTCTCTTCACAGTAGTAAAAACCCTAACTATAGGACAATAACTGATGAATGGTGTTTGATAAGTATTTTTAATGATAGTTGATGAACAGGTGTTAATTGAAGTATAGGCAATCAACTACAGGTACAAAGAGACAAGAGCTATGAAAGGGCCAGTGCTGCTTACAGAATATTCTGGTGAGGCTGATGCATTGATATATTTGTGCCTAATTTTAGATAAGTGCAGAATGTGCATTTAACATATTAAGAATAATCCTTTTTTAAATTGGTTTCTGTCGATTTCTGCTATGTGGAAATAAAAAGATCTGAAATAATAAAAAAAAAGGTAGATATTTATAAACTCAAATTATGTTCTCCTTATAAATATATGAGTTGAGTTGAGGGGCTTTTAAAAGATAAAGGATTTTAAAGTAGCCCTTGTTATGTATGGTAGGATATTTAGTGTAAGAAGCCTACATACTTTCTTTTTGTCTTTCAGTGACACTGGTACAGTAGCTCCAGAAAGATGCCTCTTTGGAGTAATGCTAAATATTGCTGCAGTTTTAGGTAAGTAATAGAAGTGAGAATGGTTTTAGCCCTCAAATGAATAGTCAAATTGATGTTTCCTTCATAAAAATTATATCACTGCTTACTTTCTATTCTATAGTTGAGAATGTGTTACTACTAAATTATGGATTGTAGTTATGTTCTTAAAAAAAAAAAGAAAGAAAGAAAACTCTTGGTTATACAGTGGTAAGCATTTCTGCCTTCCAAGAAAAAAAAAAAAAAGATAGAAATGCCAAACTATAGAAATACACTCTGAAGAACTATCATATGGTTATTTGACTTCTTATCTAAATGGAGGTTCCAAACACAACCAAACCTTCCTTTGGGCCTCTTAGCTAGACTTCTTGAACAGCCGGTGTGAAATTAAGAACTGTAGGTAAAACTGATGACTACTAAGTTCTTTCATGAAAAACAGTTTAAAAGTAGACATGGAATTATGTTTTCACTTTTGATTAATATTCTAATGCCATGGAATTTACTGTAGTGGATTATATTCAAGCTCTTTTTGTGAGTCATATTATTATTAATTTAGTAAAATATTTTATGATCAAATTTGGTCATTTAGAATAATTTCATCTGGCAATTCAGTACATATTATTTTCTTGTGTGAAAAAAGAAATTAGGACTGGTGAGATGGCTCAGGAGGTAAAGGTACTTGCTACTGAGCCTGAGGACCTTGAGTTCCATCCCCAGAACCTACCTGGGGGAAGGAGAGAATCAGCTCCCAAAGACTGTCTAGTGGCACACACACACAAAATAAATAAATAAATGTAGCAGAACATTGAAAAAATAGAAGAAAAGTAATTCATAAAAATATGTTTTCTCTTTACACTCTTTAGAAACATATCCACAAAGCATGTATCTGTCGTGTTTATTATACTCCTGAGTTGTTTGGCAATAACTCTGCAGTAGAACATTTGATTGGACCTTTCTTGAAACAAGAGTATATAAAGCAGCCTCTATCTTCTTGTGTAACTGACTGTTGTGCCTACATGAGCCCACCAAGGGTAACCTGAACTAAAACAGTACAGAAATGAGGAGGGAAATTTTATTTTATCTATGCATGTCCCATCTGGATTCTACTGTTGATTTTGATGCTAAACCTAAAAATATTATGTGTTTAATATAATAAGAATGTCATAAGAGCTTTTTTCAAAAGACATCAAACTTATTTTCAAAGTTTTATGCTAAATAACTGTAGACATGAGGCCCAGGGAAGGCAAATGTCTTGCTCAGGTGTACAGAGATTCAAATAGTTCTATGGTATGACTATAAAAGTTCTCTAAAATCTACACCTGTTTTTGTGTTCTCCTTTCAAGTTAATGTTCAAAGGACAAACTGTGTTTCTGGATAGCAGCTGACCTTTGTGAACTCTTCTCTGGAATTTTATTCCCCTAGTTACTCATTACTTCGTTGTTTTTCAAATTCTCTTTTCCCAGGTCTTGCTACCATGTATGTTCGTTACAAACAAGTTCAAGCATTGAATCCTGAAGAGAACCTTATCATCAAATTCAACAAAGCTGGCCTTGTACTCGGGATACTGAGTTGTTTAGGACTTTCTCTTGTGGCAAATTTCCAGGTTTGTTTTTTAACCAAGCATGGGTATTTTCTCGAAATGCTTGGGTGTCTGTGGTAAAATGAAAAGCCGAGCTGTTCAGTCACATGCTGCTCCTGCCTCTTCACCTAACAGAATTAAGATGTATTTGACCATTTTAGAAACAGCTACTTTCACTATTAGAGTAACCCATATTCAATGATCTGAACAAACATAAATACTTAGAACTATTTGTCAATACAGTCAGGATAGTAACTAGACAGACTTCATTATACTTTGTTGGAGGTTACCTCAAGATCAGACAGAACTGATATACATTATAAATGACACATTGTGGATCTAAACTTTGTGTTTTGTTTTCTGCATTCATTCTAATTCACATCACCATACCAGTCCTCTTGGCATTTTGGATCAGATCACTCTCTTTTTATTCATTTATTTATTTATTTATATTTATATTTTTATTTATTTATTTATTTTTTTTGGTTTTTCGAGACAGGGTTTCTCTGTGTAGCTTTGCGCCTTTCTTGGAACTCACTTGGTAGCCCAGCCTGGCTTTGCCTCCCGAGTGCTGGGATTAAAGGCGTGCGCCACCACCGCCCAGCAGATCACTCTCTTGATTATACCTCCTACTTCAACTTTGGACATCTTGAACATTCTGACTTTTACTCATGACTTCATTTTTAGCCTCTAGACTGTACCTTGAATCCTAGTTGGTCTTATTAATAAAAATAAAAAATATAGGGATAAATGCTGAAAGATCAGAGAAACAAAGGAGCAAGCCACAGCCACTTCTTACCTCACCAGCTTCTCAGCCTGAAGGGGTCGAGCTCCTGTCTCCCTCCCATCTTATATTCCTCTCTCTGCCCAGTCATATCACTTCCTGTCTCCACCTCCCAAGTGCTGGGATTAAAGGTGTGTGCCACCACTGCCTGGCCTCTATGGTTACCTAGTGGCTAGCTCTGCCTTCTGATCTCCAGCTTTATTTGTTAGAGCACAAACAAAATGTCACCACAGTAGATACTAGCATCACCCAAATATCCACCTGCTCCCCTTCTTCCCTATGTAAGGTCTTGCCACTTAAAGTGGTGAATATTATCACCTACCTTTTATCCTCCTTTATAATGTTTTTAGGGGAGGTGCTTGGAGGAGAGTTTAGCACTATTTTGAATATGGTGATGACTTACTGATTTTCCTCATAAATATTTCTTAGATGCTTCTACTTCTCATTATTTTCATTTCTCCTTCCTTTCATGCCAATTCCTTTTGAAGGAATTGTTCATCTGTATTCACTCTTACTTCCTGTACTCAATTCTCAAAAAACAAAAGATTCTCTGTTGTCTTGCTAAAGCTCCAAAGAATTTATATTAAGAAAGAATAATTTGATAAACTTGGATATTGAATCTGATTAAAAGTCCTCTCTAATCTGGTTCTCTAGCCTCATTTTTTTATCACTGTGTTCTTAACATTGCCACTGTGTATAATGCTGGCCCATTTTGTTGTTGTTCCTTAAATAAAGCAGGTTTATTTAACTCCTTTACATAGGTACTTGAGCATGCTACAAGCCTCAATCTTAAGATCTAGGCCTCAGTGTAGACTACATTTTCCTAGGAAATCTTTTTTCTGGGTTCTACTGCAATATATTCTGAGTTTTCTCTTTTTATGTTCTCTAGTCTTGGAAAACTCATCCTTTATACTTCTTACTGGGTTCTAGTTTTTTTTTAATCAGTAGTTGTTTCCATTTTCCTATTATTATTATTATTATTATTACTGATGTATGTCTCACTAATCATAAGTGCAGTGGTTTGCTCACCACTGTAACTCCAGCACCTAGCACACTACTTAGTGCAGGCAAGCTCTCATTAGTTATTTAGGAACTTTTTGAGAAACACTGAAAGTACTAAAACGGTTGGGGAAAAGACCTCTTATCATATGGTTGCTTGTATTCGAGGGGAAGCCCAATAATTATTAGAATGTGGTATTTGAAAATATAATTTAATATAAATTGAATGCCTTTGAATAGTGTGTATGTAATATTCAACAAAATGGATAGTGAGTGGTAAGAGTCCTCAGTGTGCACTTACGAGAATGTTTCCCTTCTGGGAGATTTATCCTTCAGGAGGTTTGGAAGAGATTGGTAAACAGGGAGATCTGGTTTAGCTTTCTAGGGTTGTCATATGAAATACCATGAATTGGATAGCCTCAAAAAGAAAATCTCTCAAAGTCGAAGTATTAGTTGGGTTGATTCTCTTTCATGCTCTTCTTTTTGTTGTTGTGTTTTTGTTTTGTTTTTGTTTTTGTTTTTCAAGACAAGGTTTCTCTGTGTAGTTTTGGTGCCTGTCCTGGATCTCACTCTGTAGACCAGGCTGGCCTCAAACTCACAGAGATCTGCCTGGCTCTACCTCCTAAGTGCTGGGATTAAAGGCGTGTGCCACCACCACCTGGTTCTTTCATGCTCTTCTATACAACTGGCAGCCCAGAGCTTTCACGTCTCATCCCAACAGTCTATATTAACCTTAAGCTCTTTTTCCTTTGTTTCCCAATTTCTAAAATTATGAAACTAGATATAATAAGCTGCAGGTTTGTTTTTTAATATTTAGTTTATTTATACAAGTAAGCTGAAAACTTCTCATGTATATTGTTGAACTTTTCAAAATTGAAAATAATTTTCTTTTAATACAATATATTCTAATCACAGTTTCCCCTCCCTCATCTCCTCCCAGATCCTCCCCACCTCTCCACCCATCCAGCTCTCTAACTCCACACCTTCTTTCTTTCTGTAGAAAACAAACAGACAAAAGAAAAAAACAAAAGACAAATGAACCAAAATAAAACAAACAAAAATACAGAAAAGGTAGGAGAAACACACACACACACACACACACACACACACACACACACACACACATGCACACACACACACACATACACACGTGGGCCATTTAAACACACAAAGTTCATTTAAACACAAAATTGGGAACCATAACATAAACAAAAGACCAGTAAGGTAAAAAATGTCCAAACAAAGCATTATGAGACAAAAAAAATCTCCAAAATACCATGATATTTGTTTTGTGTTAGTCATCTACTGCTGAGCATGGGGCCTGCCCTTAAGTGTGCTTTGTATACCTAGCAGAGACTCCACTGAAACTCCATTGGAGAAAATTAATTTTTCGTTTGTGAGCAGTTGTTAATTTGAGATAGCTTTCTGGTTAAGGATGGGGGCACAAGTCTACTTCCTCTCTCAGTGCTGGAACCCCATCCGGCTTGGACCTGTACAGACCCCATGCATGCTGCTAGTCTCCGTGAGTTGCTATGTGTGTCAGTTCTGTTGTGTCTGGAAAGCACCGTTTCCTTGATTTCTTCTATCCCCACGGGCTGTAATGCTCTTTCCATCTCCTCCTCTACATAGTTCCCTGACCCTGAGGGAAGGGATTTGATGAAGACATCCCATTTGGGACTTAGTGTTCTAAGGTCTCTTAATCTCTGCATATTGTCCAACTATGGGTCTCAATATTCATTCCCATCTCCTGCAGGAGGAAGCTTCTCTGATTATAGCTGAGTGAAACACTGACCTATGAATATAGCAGAATGTCATAAAGAGTCATTTTTATTGCTATGTCCCTTTAGTAGAGCAGTAGTATTTGGTTTTCCCCTAGGTCCATGACCTATCTATTCTTAGGTTCTTGGCCACCCAAGCAGTGTCAGGCATGGGTTCTATCTCATGAAGTGGGCCTTAAATCCAATCAGCTAGTGGTTGATTACTCCTAGAACTTTTGTTCCACTATTGAACCAGTGTAACTTTCAGGCAGGTCACCGTTGTAGAATGAAGGGTTTGCAGCTGGATTGGTATTTACGTCTCTCCTTAGGTAGCATGTAGAGTACCGTTCAGTACCATGAACATAGTCAGTAGGTGTAAAGGCTCTAGTTAGGTAACAGCATGGCTTCTCCATGTTCAGTGAGACTTGTAGGTGTTGTCTTCAGCAATAGCGCCTTACCATCAGTTTGTGGAGAGCAACCAATTGCTTTGGTAATAGCCTGAGTGATTTGGGTGTTCTCATGGGGCCCCTTTGGCCAACAACTCAATTAGATGTAAACCTTTCCTGGCACTGGAGGTTTCACTTGATGGCAAGCGATGTTTTCTTGGGGCTTTGTTTCCCCCTGTTATTTGGTGATTCCATTTAGATTTCTTTCATATACGTATATATTTTAAGAAGCTTCTACTGTAGTAGGTTTCTGTAAGGCCCCTCGAAGTGGCTGTTAGTGTTAGTTGTCCCTCCTTACCTTCTTCTTCCTTCCCTGTTTCCATTTAATTTTATACGCCTCCATTTCAGTTTTTATACAAATACTTTCCCTCTTTTCCTTAGTTTTTGCCTTTAATTCAAGGATTTTGTTAAGGAACTGTGTACTGACATTGATTCTGCTATGTCTGTATTTAGCTTTATCAGATACAATAACCAAGCCTTCAAGCAACTAGCTCACTCTCACTGAGAAAAGAAACTGGTACCTTTGAGAAATCAAAATCTCTGATTTCTGTACATTGAGAATCACTTGTAGCAATCATTTGAGAGATACAAGATCAACTGGATTTGTGGATTATACAGCTGATGTAAAAGAAGGAACCCGAACCCTGCCCCTCCTTTGTTTTCTTAGTGATTATGCTCCCTTGGTGCCAAGTATTGGATGTGCCTTTTCTACCAAGGGAAGCACAAACACCACCAATTAAAACAAAAACAGTGATTCAACCAAAATTTGATTTAAAAAGTTGATTGTAGAAATTTGAGGTTGACAGTTGTCACTTTTAAACAAATGGAACATATGATGCTAGAAATTGAATGTAAATAAATAAGGTGAAAACACTGTAACTTACAATAATCCCTTTGGAATAATCAATACAAACTAATAGTAATCCCTGTGGCATAATCAATAACAAACTTGAGCCATGAAGGCCTTAAATTACATTTAAATTTAAACTCTCTTCCCCAGATGTGCCTAGCTCTCTGCTCTTTAACCTACTTGCCTTTTTCTATTATTATTACCATTTTGTACCTTACTATGGATGTCCTTATTTCTGACGTTTATTGTTTGTTTTTATGTACCTTCACCAGACTATAAACTGTGAGGGGTACGTGTCTATTTCATTCATTTGCATATGAATGGCTTTTAAAAGTATTTGACACTTAATAGGACCCAATAAAAATGTTAAATAAGTAAAACAAAAAAAAATACATGGATACTTGTTTCCATTTTTATTGTTGGCAAATGAAGTCATCTGGTTTCATTATAATCTTCCAGTGCTTTGGGGAAGTAATTTGTGAAATCCGCAGTTTCCCCACTTGGCCCTATTGAATTATCTGGCTTGTGCTATTAAATGATATGTTGTTGATGTGTTGTGAGTTTCTCTCGTTGACTGACTTCGTTTTTCTGCTTCTCAGAAATCAACACTATTTGTTGCACATGTATGTGGAAGTGTGCTTGCCTTTGGTATGGGTTCATTATACATGTTTGTTCAGACCATCCTTTCCTACCAAATGCAACCTAAAATTCACAGCAAACAAGTCTTCTGGGTCAGACTGCTGCTGGTTATCTGGTGTGGAGTAAGTGCACTTAGCAGTATCCTTTGTTGTAAAGTGTGGTTTGCTATTCAAAGAGAATAGAATGACAAGACAAGTGAGTACAACAGGCACAGTGTAAGTACCAGGTTGTTAACTGTAATATCTTTAGATTATTTTCTGTGTGTGGGTTTTTACCTACATGTATGTATGTGCACCGTGTGCAAACCTAGTAGTGAGCAGTATCCGAAGAGGGTGTCAGATACCATGGAATTGAACTTACGGATGGTTGTGAGACACCATGTGGGTGCTGGGAATCAGAACTTGGTCCTCTGCAAAAGCAACATGTATGTGTTTTTAAATGCTGAGGTGTTACTCCAGTACCCCACACCCCTTTAAAGTCACTCTATGCTAAAGACTGTTATTCAAGAAATTTAGACAGAAATTAAGTAATTGAGTCAGGAACAAAAATAATGTTTAGCATAGTCATATTTCAGAGAAATCAAGTAAGAATTGTTATGCTCACTTGAGAAAATTATTCAGTGGAAATTTATGGTAGAGCTGCTAGTTTTTGATCAAAGCAGGAAGGGTGTGATGGTGTAAATCATTTCCTGGGGGCCCTCTGAGTAGATCTTTAGTTTTAATACTGCCATGTGACATTAATTATTTAAAGGAATAGGATTGGACCATAGCAACAAATGTGTAAGCTAGCCTTTAAAGTGATTTTTTTTTTTTTTTTGGTTAGGATTTACAGGTTTAAACCTTCAAGTCTCTGAGATTCTTCCTTGACTTTTTTATAGTGCTGACTTGCTCATCAGTTTTGTACAGTAGTGATTTTGGTGCTGATGTAGTACAGAAACTACACTGGAACCCCGAGGACAAAGTAAGAGCTTAAAGTTTATAAAATGTGTGTGTGTGTGTGTGTGTGTGTGTGTGTGTGTGTGTGTGTGTGTGTGTGTGATTTTTTTTAAGGATTTATTTTCATTTTAAATTTATTTGTGTGTATCTGTATGTCATGTATGCATGGATGCCTACACAGACAAGAAGAGGGCGTTGGATCCCTTTGAGCTATATTTACATGCAAATAGGAACTGCCCAACATGGGAGCTGGGAGCCAAACTTGGTTCCTCTGGAAGAGCAGCAAGCATTCTAACCACTGGGCCATCTCTCCAGCCCTGTATCATATGTTACAAGTTAGTATACAAACTCTAAAAATAATCCTTATGAAAGTTTATAGTGAGTATTCTTGAACTTTTCCTAGTGTCATTTTTATGAATTTTATGCAGATACATTCACACTCATGCACTTTGTGTGTGTGTGTGTGTGTGTGTGGGTGTGTGTGTGTGCACACTTGCACATGTGTATACACACCTGAAAGCCAGAGGACAATCTCAGGTGTCATTCCTCAGGTTCTATACAGCTCGTTTTTTGAGACAGAGTATTTCACTGGCCTAGAGGTCGCTGATGTGGCTGTGGTGTCTGGCCACCACCTCCAACAATTGCCTGGTTCCACCTCCTTGGTTCTAGGGTCTCAGACACATGCACCTTCACACTGGCTTTTTGTGTGGTTCTGGTGAGAGAATGAAGGTCCTCACATTTACACAACAAGCACTAACAACTGAGCATCTCCCCAGACTCCCTCCAAATATACTTTTTAAAGACTTACAATGTTGGGCATCAAACAAAGGGTCTTGTAAAAGCTAGGCACAACTTGTTGTTTGGTGGGGGGGGTATATTTAATTTCACTCTATGGTCTAGCTGACATTAAATTTGTGATCTTTCCTCAGCCTCCTAAGTGTAAGGATTACATGTGTTGATTTATCAATCTTATAGCTCAGGGGGAAGAAGTAACTCCTTGGTTGTACAGTGTAGATTCTGTTTTGTTTTGGTTATTTAATGGAAATTATATTTGTTCTAAGTGAAACTCAGACATCTAGTATGGTTTAGGAGATATATTCCTAACAGCTACTGCAATTCTCAAAACACATTCAAAGGTTGATTATCAGAGGGAAGATTGGCCTATAAGAATTTGATGTTGCTTAATTTGAAAAATACTATAGATTATTTGAATAATTGTGAATAAAACTTCACAGAACTATCCTGTTTTTCCTCTTTGACTCAAGGGTTATGTGCTTCATATGGTCACTACTGCAGCAGAATGGTCTATGTCATTTTCCTTCTTCGGATTTTTCCTGACTTATATTCGTGATTTTCAGGTAAAAAATAGTTTCAATTTTATTCAGTAGAACTTCATGTGGAATAGCAGGATATGTCATTGGCAGATTCCCTGTCCTTTTTGAAAATGAGCAATTTAAAATCTGGTACCAGAGAAAGTGATAGAAGAGTAACTCCTGGTGAAATTATTTCTGGATTTGAGGAAGTAGTATGTTGCAAGTAAATTTCAGCCTTGATAATGGAATTGCAAAGCATATCTGAAGAAATTATTTGATAGACTTCTATAATCTGGTGCATTCACATAGGCCCAGCCCTAACACAATATTTCACAAAAAAACTACAAAAGAAAAACAGGAAGCTTACTGAGGCAATAGGGTGATTTTCCCATTTCAGTTGGTGCTAGGATGATGCCTGTGGCAGTGACTTCCTCTTCCCCATTAGATCAGTTTTTATCTCTGACTTCATAAGGGAGCCTGTGGAGCATAGTGAAGAGATAGTCTCTCATAAGCACCGAACTTCTCTGTATGATTTTCTTTTCTGTTCCAGAAAATTACATTACAGGTGGAAGCCAATTTACATGGACTGACCCTCTATGACACTGCCCCTTGCCCTGTCACCAGTGAAAGAACACCACTGCTTTCCAGAGACTTTTAATGAAGGGGTAAAATACTTCTGTGATAACTATGAGTCTCAGGGATTTGAGAAAGATGCACAAACATTGCTTATTAAACTCTGAAAATTTGAAGTAGTTAATCAAGGCTGACAGTGACATTAATGAAAGATGATAATCAGGAGAAATGTAATAAGCCATCTGATAAGTTTTCTTAAAGGATGTCATTAAGAAGATTATCTAAAAACATTTATGCCTAGACTTCTTTTTTTTAATCTCAGAAAATAAAACCAAAGGTTATTCCATTGTAGTGTTTGCTATTTTATTGAAGAAGAAAAACAGACTGAAGTACACCAAGTTGTCTATATAACTGGCCTTAAATATTTCGTAAGTCATTTTAAAAACATCTTTTGTTATGAGCACTTTTATGAGAGACATTTTCCATAACCCATAATAATCAGCATTGGTCAGCAGATCATTTAGAATCAGGGTTTGAAGTTGAAGTTTTACCTTATTAATACATTTCTTATAGTGCTTAAAAATGTGTCATACTGTTGTTGTTGTTGTATAATTCCCCCCCCCCCCCCCCCCCCCCCGTAAATAAGAGCTGGCCTGAGTTCAAATGAGTTCTTTGATGGCTTCAGTTTTGCACAAAAAAGTCAGTGGGTATTTATTTGATTCTGGACACATGAATACTAACAGATCTATCATATGTGCTTGCAATAATTTCATAGTCTGGTCTCTGAGATTAGATTTTTAATTACCAGTGAAAGAAACAAGTATTGTTGCAAACACACCACCATCTTGTTCTTTATAAAAATAAATGTTAATGGCTGATGACATTGGCAGCCTGACGACCTGAATTCAATACGTGGGACCCGCAGGGTGGAAAGGAGGAAATGACTCCTCTTACCGTTATTCTCTGACCTCCATGTGCACATGCACACACAATAAAGAAATGAATGTGATAGTAGATAATACACAAACGATGGTTGATGTTCCTAAATAAGATTGCAAAGTCTGTAAACCAAAGTAGATATGAATAATAACAAATAAAAGTTACTCTACACTCCAGCTAGGAGCTTCTTTGTTTTTCATTTATAGAAAATTATAATTACTAGTAAGAGTAGTTTTGAGTAGATATTTAGCCTTTTTACTGGAATTTGATCTTTTTAGAACCTAGATCTGAAGAAGAGACCGAAATCCAAAATAAAAACCTACTCTAAGATAATAGTGTTATATGAATCTTTTTTCTCATTATGCAAATGATTGTAAAGTTTTTATTTAGATCTCTGTGTGGATAAAGGATAGTTTCTAGATTCCCACTAAGATTAAAAGGGAGTCTAACTAGTTTTTAAAGGAATCTTTGATGAATACTCACACAATTTATATTTTTGGAAGAGATGGGACTGAGACCAGAAGAAAAGATAGTGATAAAAAGTTTTAAATGTATCAAGTAAACTGTCTATATGGTGGAACTGCAGACTTAAGTTATAAGTTGTTAAATACAAAAAGTAGTAACTATTTTTGAAGAAATTTCTTAGACTAATAGAGAAATGGAGTATTTACCTGTGCCAAGCAATAGTGGACAAGGGTGACATTTCGGGAAATGTTGATTAATTGACCGTTGCTACTACTAGAACAAATTGCATACAAATCATGAAAAGCTATTAATGCTGCTGAAAAAACCGAACTGTGACCACGCATGGAAAGTATCTTTTCCTGTGGTTTCTCTACCAGTAAGTCAAGTTATGAAGTATCCATGATGAGAAGGAAAGCGATAGAGTGAAAATTCATGAAGGTAAATGTGGGGAAGGTAGTTAAGAGAAAAACATAAGACTTGTTGGAATTACCCCTTCTCACACTATTAAACTTAGAGATGTAGTTCATACAATAAAGAAATTGTTCTGCCGGGCGGTGGTGACACACATCTTTAATCCCAGCACTCAGGAAGCAGAGGCAGGCAGATCTCTGTGAGTTCAAGGCTATCCTGGGCTACAGACTCCAAAGTTACACAGTGAAACCCTGCCTCGAAAAAAAAAAAAAAAAAAAGAAGGAGAAGGAGGAGGAGGAGGAGGAGGAGGAGGAGAAGAAGAAGAAGGAATTGTAAACCAAGAGAAATGTCTTGTTTCCTAACCATAAGGCTGAGGTGATGATAGACAGTGGCTCTCTTCCTCAGTATATCATCCCTTCCAGTACTGCCAAATACAAGTATGGATTAACAGATCAGAGAGAGAGTTTCCTTTACTCCTCCTTTTGTATGTGTGGGGTGTCAAATATTTACTTTTCCAATTAGGAAAGCTTAAAGTAATAAACTTGGCAAGTATTGAGAATGAAAAATCTTATTTCTTTTTTGTCTTGGATAGACAGACAGACTACAGTCTGTAGCTACCTCATGGTTTTATGTAGGCATGAGATTGAATTATAGAAAGTTTAATGAATGTATTTTATATTTAGGTTTTTATAAATCAGGAATTCTCTTTCCTAGTGTTTTGTGTCTGATATTGTTGACAACGTTGTAAAAGATGACAGAATCAGAAGGTATAAGTAGCCTAAGCTGCTTTACTTTTTTTTCTTTCATTTTTTCTTACATCATTTCTCCCCTTTCCTCTTTCTAGACCATACCATGTACCTTCCTTACTTTCTTTCAAATTCATGGCCTTTTTTTTCATTAATTGTTGTTACAAGCCTGTGTGTACATATGTGTATGTGCGCGCGCGTGCGTATATGTGTGTGCATGTGTGTGTGTGTGTGTGTGTGTGTGTGTGTGTGTGTGTGTGTGTGTGTTTATTCCTAAATCTATAAGTATAACCTGCTGTGTCTGTATGATGTTGTTCTTATGTATCTGTTCAGGGCTGACCATTTGGTCGGTCAGTGTGCTTTTCTCTAGGGAAGACCATTTCTCCCATCCTCAGCAAATTTACTTCTGATCAAACTTTAGAAAATTAAGCTTGAGATTTAATAATATTTAGGACATTAATACTTATAATAAGGTTGTGTTGTATATTTCTGGAATGGTGTCATAGGTGTTTCTTTGATGTAAATGGAAAGTTTTCTTATCTCTTTTACAGGCTTGCCGCAAAGTGAAAGGTCAGAAAATATTGGCTTGTAAGTAGCCATGGAACTCTCATCATGTACATGTACCCTCTTTACAGGTTATACTGATTTAGTAGGAAGGAAATAATGTAGAACAGACCTAAAACAAAGGAAAAAAATCTGAGCCTTTTTGAGACAGAGTCTTGCAGTGTATTCCAGCCTGTTCTTGAACTCATGATGTAGCCCAGGCTGGACTCAAACTCAGGATTTCCTTAGTCTCCCAAGTGATAAGATTATTGGCTTGTACTACCATGCTTGTCTGTTAAGGTTCTCTAAGCAGCTGTATCCAACATACAGCTTGTTAATTGACTGAAAAAGAAAAAGAAATAAATGTTCCTGAGGTACTTAAAGCCAAAGACACAAGTGGAATACAAAGAACATACCCCAGGTATCCCAAATTTTGCAGTAATGATACAGTGCACAGAGAAATGTATTGTTTAGAAAACTGACAGGTCACCTGAAAAACACAAATTCTAATACAGTCACGCCAGTGCACAAAGGAAGCCCATAGTAATTACATAGTAGTAGTAGAAGCTCATAGTTAGTAATAATAGAATAAGGTGAGGCCATCTGTAGCAGCACTGGCCAACTCCTCTGCACCTGCAGTCAGATTGCTTTTGATCTCCACACATTGAAGCCTGGCAATAGACGGGCATACTGTTCTCTCGAGGTAACAATAGATCTTTTTTATACTTCTGTCATTTGTAGAAAATATCGGAAACAAAGTAAAAAAAAAATGCAAGGCATGTAAAAGAGCAGAAAATGATCTAAAAGGAATCTGAGTAGAAGCAAACTGTTAGAGATTAATAACAATGGTAAAAGTATTGATGAAAGTAAGTATGAAGACATAAAATTATAGCAGAGACATGAAAACTTAATGCAGTTCTAGAACTAAATATGATCTAAGACAACACAAGAATGATCAATAAACCTTAAGACAGAAGAGTTGAAAATATATAACGTAATTATCACAAAGGAACAGTAGTGAAAATAAAAATGAAGTATCTGAGATTTGAAGGTCTAATCAAATCCCTTACCATCTTTATGGTATAAGAGGAAGAAATGGAAATAATGATACAGAAAGGTTTTCAATAGCTGTTAACTAGGGACTTTGTTGAAATTGATGGGAATTGATAGATACAATTTTTATGGTTAATACTACATCAGATTCTCCTCCTCAGATCCAGTGGTCACTGTCCTTAAAGAAGACAGGCAGATACAAGACACAGAAAAGAAGGTCATGTGAAGACGGAGGCAGGAATGGGAACTAGCCAAGGAGTGCCTAGTTGCAGGCAGCCAGATGGTAGGAGGAGAAAGAATATCTTCCTATACTGCTTTCAAAGGAAACCCTGAGAGTTTACCCTCTATAATTTCGAGATATTTTTATGATTTAAGCCACCTTCTTTATGGCAATTTATCATGGGACCCTACTAAGAAAACCCAGGATCTCTGGGAGTCCAATTAGCGAGAATGAAGAGGGCTTATATGAGCGAGAATTGTTGAGACCAAGGTTGGATAAAGCACAGGGACAAATAGCCAAATGAATGGAAACACATGAACTATGAACCAATGGCTGAGGGGTCACCAACTGGATCAGGCCCTCTGAATGGGTGAGACAGTTGATTGGCTTGATCTGTTTGGGAGACATCCAGGCAGTGGGACTGGGTCCTGTGCTCATTGCATGAGTTGACTGTTTGAAACCTGGGGCCTATGCAGGATCGCTTGGCTTGGCCTGGGAGGAGGGGACTGGACCACCTGGACTGAGTCTACCAGGTTGATCTCAGTCCTCGGGGGAGGCTTTGCCCTGGAGGAGGTGGGAATGGGGGGTGGGCTGGGGGGAAGGTGAGGGGGGCCGGAGTGGGGAGAACAAGGGAATCCGTGGCTGATATGTAGAACTGAATTGTATTGCAAAATAAAAAAAAAAATAATAAAATTTAAAAAAAAGGAAAACAAATTATTAATATCAAAAATCAAAAGAGGTAGTCTTCCTTAGAACAGAACCTAAAATGTATATAAAACATGTAAAGGTTACTTAGAACCAAGCAATAAGGTCTAGATAGTAAGTAAGACAATGGCTATCTGCATGCGGAAAAATCCATAGTAGGTGCCTTTGAAGGAATGAAAGATTCATGGAGACTCATTGGTCTTTAGTCCACATTGGAAGCCCAGAGAAGTTGGAGTCTGATGTCCATGAGAGTAGGTTAGCAAGCAGCACTAATTTTTCTTTGGAATTTTTTTTTTTTTTAGGGGGGAGACCTGCCTGCTAAAAGACACTACCCACTCAGATGTCATTAAATTTAACAATCAAGATTAATCTTAGGCATGTGGGAGGCAGAGGCATTCGGATCTCTGAGTTAGAGGCCAGCCTGGGCTACAGAGTGAGTTCCAGGACAGGCAGCAAAGCTACACAGAGAAACCCTGTCTTGAAAAACCAAAAAGAAAAAAGAAAAAAAAATTGATTAATCTGAGAGGATATGGTGGTTTGAAAGAAAATGGCCCCCAAGGGAAGTGGCACTATTATGAGGTATGGCCTTGTTGGAGTAGGTGTGGTCTTGTTAGAGGATATATGTCACTGTGGAGGCAGGCTTTGGGGTCTCATATATACTCAAGCCATGCCCAATAAAACAATTCACTTACTGTTGTATGCACAAGATGTAGAACTGTCAGCTACCTCTCCAGCACCATGTCTACCTGCATGCCATGTCCCACGTAGCATCATGATAATGGACTGAATCTTTGAACTGTAAGTAACCCAATTAAATGTTTTTCTTTATAAGAGTTGTTGTGGTCATGTCTTTTCACAGCAATAGAAACCGTAAGACAGGAGGACATTACCACATAAACTGTTTATATTAAAGATAGTAAAGATGTGTAATGAATCTTTATACTGATAGATTGAGTGACTTAGGTGGATTGAACAAATGCCCTTTGAAACATAATTTGTCAGTGCCATGCAGAAGGAAATAGATCTAAAAAGTCTGTATACTTCCTGAAATACTGAATTGGTCTTCATAAACCTTGCCAATAATAAAATTTTCATTGTTGCACAGAGAATTCTTTCAAATATTTAGGTTACAAGTAATATTAAACTGTACATAGACACTTAAAAAAAAGCACACAATCAACTGTGGTTTAAATGCATTAAATTAAACATAGCAGAATTCCACAATTGGTAAATTTTAATTTTTTTACTATTATGAGTCACTTGATGAAATCTTGTACCATTTCACCTGGCAGATAAATCATCCCCTTGTCCCTGAATCATGTTCTATATTTTACCTTTAGTGGATGTTCTATTTGTCAAATGCAGTCCTTGAGATTGAGAAACCCTTTCTTTACTGGGTGTGGCTCAAAACCACAAGTGCAATAGTGCTGGCAATTTAGATATGTTAAAGAAAAGCCATAAATTAAAAACCTTTATGTAATAACATGAAAGTTCATGACTTAATGAGGAAAGAAATGATATGCTGAGGTTGGTAGGAACAAGTGTATTGATGATACTGTGAAGAAAAACTCTTGCCGGTTTTAATTTCACTTCACACTAAAAGTTATAGCTATGGTGCATGTCTTTAAGTAGAAAATACTGTAAATTTGTGTATGTAGTAGATAATAAAATATAGTATATATAAGGTTCATTACTGTTTTCAAATATCCAGTGGAGATCTTGGAATGTATTCCTAAAAGATGAGGATAGTTACTAATTAAAAGGTGAAGGTAGCTCTTTTACTTCGTTTTTTTTTTTTGTGTTTTCTTTTATTTTAAACTTTTCTGTTTTCAAATAATTATGTATATTGTAGTAAGTTGCCAAACAGTATGGAATCCCATTTACTTTTCACCTGTTTTTTCCAAGTTGTAATGTTTTGTGTAACTATGTCTTCATTGTGGTTTCTATTGCTGTGAAGAGGCGTCATGACCACAGCAACTCTTATAATGGAAAACATTCAATTTTGGTGGCTCTCTCACAGTTCAGAGGTTTAGTCCATTATCATCATGGAGGGAAGCAAGGCAGCAATGCAGGCAGATTTGGTGCTAGAGAAGGAGCTGAGAGTTCTTACATCTTGACTCACAGACAACAAGAAATGGTCTGAGACTGAGTGCTGGATCACATAACAAGTGCACATTTAGTTTTATTTTAAATTGCCAGAGTGTTTTCCTGAATGCTATGATGATGCGATTTTACATTTCCACAGCTCCCAAGTTTCTCTGTATCTTCAAATGCCTTCGCAGACATTAGCAGTTTTTAAATTTCTGATGTTTTGGATAGTTCTGTAGTGTTATCTACTCTTGGATTTAGCTGGCATTTTCCTCATGGATAAAAGATATAACTATTTTCCATTTATTGTACTGTTCATGATGTTTTTTTTGGTTGCTTTTGCATATATTGTATTTGTATTTTACTGTTTCTATTGAGATTTGCAGTTATCTACAATGACTGGATCTATTTATAGTGTCTGTTTCTTTGCTTAATAATCAGGCACATTTTCTTTGTATGTCATATAAATTTAATGTTTATATTGGAGATGGTAGACAGATCTCTCTGTCACAGGGCAGCCTGGTCTGCATAGCAAGAACCTGTCTTGGAAAAAAAAAATCTACGACTACCAACAAAAACAATAAAAAGAGCTGGGATTTTAGATGTGCCCCCAACATAACTACCTCTTTTTTTTTTTTCGAGACAGGGTTTCTCTGTGTAGCTTTGCACATTTCCTGGAACTGGCTTTTGTAGACCAGGCTGGCCTCGAACTCTCAGAGATCCACCTGCCTCTGCCTCGAGAGTGCTGGGATTAAAGTCGTGCCACCACCGCCCAGCTTTGGTTTCAATTTTTATATTTAGTAGTTTTGAGATAGGGTCCTATTCTTTTCATGTTGCCTATGGAGTGTAGCCTATGTTGCCCATTCCTCTTCCAGCACTAGAGTTACAGATATAAGTGGCCATGTGCAGCTTTTACATTGATGCCAAGGATCATTATGCTTGTATATCAGGCACTTTATATAATAAGCCCCTGAGATGTAAACTTAACATCTTCTCAATTTTTCTAAATTGGTGCCCTTTGATACACACTTTGGGGATTTGCTGACTTTTAAAATGAGACATCACCCCCAACCTTTTCGCATAGCCAGACCCCTCCCACACTTCCTTCTTCAGGGTTTAGCTCTGTGAGTCTCCCTGACACCATCCATTCCTTCTCCCCAGCCCAACAGATCTAGCGTTTCTGTCCCTATATGTAGTGCCTGGCCTAATCATGACACAACCTGCCTGCACCACAGCATAACTCTAAGTGGGTATCTATCAGGACCTGCAACACCTGCCATCACCCGCAGATCTCTTCTGCCCTGTACCTAGCCTCTCCATTCAGCTAAATTTCTCACATCATCCATGGCCTAGCCCTGTGAGTCTCCTTGACCCTCCCTGACATACCATTTCTAACCCAGGTCCCACAGCCAGTATCCTGCCCTAGCCAAGCCTGTCCTGCCTTGGCCACAACCTGCCTCTAGTTTCTGCCAGAACCCTCCTTACCTATTCCCAAACCTACAGACTCCTCTCATACTACATCTGACCTTTCCACCCAGCCAGATCCACCCCCACACTCCAGGTTTGGACCAGAAGGCACATCCTCAACATGAGCCCAATCCAGGCTGACTACTTAACTCCATTCTACCCAAGCCATTTCCAGCCTCTAGGCCCAACCTGCCCACACAAACAGAAAAGTCCACAAAAATAAAAATACCAACAATATGAAAGATCAATCCTGTCCCTTCTCAAAAGCTTACCAATCCTGTAAAAATGTTTTCCACTGAGAACTGCCTAGATGAGACAGAGTTCTCAAAAGAAGAAAAAGAATAGCTAAGACACATCTGAAAAAAATATCCACCATCTCTAGCAATTAGGAAATGCAAATCAAAACAGCTTTGACTTGCCTGCCAAGGAATCACCTCTCCCATCACCTCTTTGTCTCAGCTGCCAATTCCCTGGGCACATGCAGGCCACTCCAACCACGGAATCAGAAAGGCAATCTTCCCTGTCTCTCCTCCCCTCCAGTTCCAGTTCCCCAGTCTTTTTTTTTTATTATTAATTTATTTTGCAATACAATTCAGTTCTACATATCAGCCACGGATTCCCTTGTTCTCCCCCTCCCGTCCCCCTCACCTTCCCCCCAACCCCCCCCCCATTCCCATCTCCTCCAGGGCAAAGCCTTCCCCACAGACTGAGGTCAACCTGGTAGACTCAGTCCAGGTAGGTCTAGTCCCCTCCTCCCAGGCTGAGCCAAACAATCCTGCATAGGCCCCAGGTTTCAAACAGCC